GAGAAACTCCTATAATATTTAATTAATATACTATTAGAAGGTAATTAAAGTTCTATATAGTCCGAAGGGGATTATAAACTATTTAAAAAGACTATAGTATATTTAAAATACTATCTTATACTCCTTTCCTTCTATTATCTATATTTTATAAAACGCTTATACTATATCTACTTTTAAAAATTACTTTATACCCTTAAATATTCGGAACGTTTCCCGGATAAGCGGGGAAAGGTATTAGTCTATTCGAATAATTGTATTAAATGCTTAATAATTATAATAAAAATAGAAACCTTTGTCCAACTTCTGAATAAATAAAATAGGGGCTCTAGTAATAAAACTATCAGCCTAAATAAATCCCTTATCTATTAAATCCCAAAGTATCCTTTTAAATACTAAGAATTCCTTTTAAAATATATTATACAATAGACTGAAAGGGAGGGAAAGGTTTTTACTATCCAATTCCTTCTTTAATTCAATTTTCAAATCAATTCCTAATTTACAATTATTAAAACGGTTTATTTCTTATTTCTTAAATAAGAGAATAAAATCCTAAAAATCTTTAGGGATAATCTATTAAAACTCCTTATTAGTCTAAACTCTTTTAAGAACTAAAGCCTTCTTTATATCCTCGAACCGTATAACGAATATAGAAATTTCTATAATAGCCCAGCCTTCCTATTTAATAATCTAATAAACGTACCTAATAAAAATAGTAGTAAGGACGTATATTACCCCCCTAAACTCTTCGAAGAATAGAGTCTTAACCTTAAATTTCTTAATATAATTTATTTAGAATTATATAACGCTATATTAAAATCTCTTCTTATAAGGGACCGAATATATTTAATTAACTATTAACTATAGCTTCCCGAGGATAATAGAATATTTAAATTTTAGTACTATATATATATAAATTAGTAAAATACAACCTTGGAATTCTATAAAGAAATAGGTAATATTTTGAATAAGGGCGCCCTTTATAATTATTATAGTACCCCGGATTTATCAGGCCGGAATCGGAATAATAGGGATTTAAAAATCCTAAATAATATTTTTACTAATAGTAGTATAATACTAATAACCTTTATTAATAAGGGCGTAAAATAAATTAATAGAATTAATAAGAATTAATATTAAAATTAGTCCTATTTCTATTTAAATTTTAGACTCTTCTACTTTACTTAATACTTTAGGGGTAGGCTTCAATACCCGATATTATATTAGAATTTTTCTTTTCCCTAGTCCAATTCGGAATTAGAAATTTCAATTACTCGAAATTCCTCGTTAAATAATAAGGCTACCTAAATAACCTAAATATATACTCCTTTGATTTATAGAATTATAGTAGGGAAGTAGGGATATTTAATAATAATATAGCCTATAGCGCTATAGTAAATATATTATCCTTTGGTATAGCGTTTATCCCTTTCTTTCTAATATACCTATTTAATTTATTCTTTTTATTAAGAGGATAAACCTCGGCCGTAAGTATTACGAATATTAATTATACCTATAAGAATATCGCCATCGGTATTATATTAAATTCTAAGGGATAGGGTAGAGGGGGAATTATAGGTTTAATATTAAGAATTAGAACGGCCCGAACCGGGAGCGATAGGGAAATATATTTTAAACCGCTAATTACCCTAATTACCGCTTTAAAAGTAACTTTAATAGAGGGTTTAAAATTCTATAGTCTTTTTACATTTATAAATAATATTTTAAAACTATTCTATATAAATAAAATAATCGTGGGAAAGCTCTATAATAAAAAGGTAATTACTAAGCTTTTTATTAATAGTATTATAAAGAAACTTAAATTTAGTATAACTATTCTAATTATAACTACTAACTTTTAAAAACTTATTATTAAAGTTAGTAAAAAATTTAAAAAATAGTTCGCCGTCGTTCTATTTTATTTTAGTAAAATTATTGAGGGTATAATTTTAAATATAATAAGTACTAAAAACTTACTAAATTTATTCGAATAGTTCGGTCGGGTCTTTATTATTAGAGAAGGTACGGGCAGTTTAGTAGCCCTCTAGCCGCTATTACTTATCAATTGGTAGGGTATTAAAGATTTCAATCTATATAGTATTAGGATTAATATATAAACCGGCTTTGAAGTTTATATTATATATTTTAACTAATTTATTATAATAAAAGAGAAAGGTAGTAGATTTATTATCCTACTTAGGGAGTTCGAATAGCTTCCGTTAGTATATTTTACTAAAATTACTAATAAATTCTTTATTATTATTTTTAAACTTTCCTTTATCTTTACTATTGAAGGGATCCTATTTAGTAGGGTATATAAATTTAAGCTTCAAAATAGGCTAAGAATAAATAAAAAAGGGGGTTATAAATTTAACCTTCCCCTTTAGCTTTAGATTAGTTTATAGGGCTCGGAGTAGATTATTAAATAGGCTGGTGATATCGGACGGTACTCTAGTACCTCCTATCGCTAAAGAATTGTAGGAAGTTTTATATCGGTATTAGTATTGTTATTATTATTCAATATAGAAAAAGAAACTATTCCAATACTAATATACGCTATACTATTAATTATAGGCTCCTTTCTTCCAATAGTTAATTAATAAGAGGGTAGAACCTAATATAAAGGGATAGTAGAGTAATACGCGGGTATTGGCTACTATATATATATTAAGGTTCTACGAAGAAAGAAAGGAGAAAACGCTACCCTTTAAGTAGGTTGAGTACTAGAGTTTAAATAGCCGTATGCTCTAGTAGTAGTACCTTGTAGCCTAAAATAGTAAGAGAATGCTCTAGAAGCCCGGGGCGCTATAGTACCGCGGTCCGAATCGATTAGAGTAATCTTAATACGGGTTGCCATCTTAGCACTCAAGTCTGGCCAGTCAGAGCCAAATGCCTTGTCGGGCGCCAGTCCTATAACATTTATTAATTTTAAAATACTTTATTTATTATACTACTAATATCTTTAGTAGATATAGTTTCGCCGGTTTAATATTTATATAGGGGTAAAAACTATAATTAGTAAAGAAGGGGGAAATGCTAATAATTTTAAATACTAGGTTATTACTTACGAATCTTATAATTAGTAATTAATCTACCTAATTATCCTAAGCCTAATTAATATAAAGATAAAGATATTCTTCTATTTCTATATTAATACATTCAATTTAATTGTTAATAGTAGGGTAGAAAGTAGAGAAGGGTTTAAAGGTAATTTCTAATCGCAATAATAGAACTCTCTAAAATTATATAATAAATTAGGTATTATAATTGGAAATAATAAAGTCCGGTAGATTATAAATACTATAGACCTTTTTAATAAAACGCTCCGCTAAATCTTCTATTATTAAGCCGACGGTAGGAATATAGTACTTTATTTTAGTAAGGTGGTCGACGACGATTATAATATATTTGAATTTTTACTTACGGTATAGGTACGGGATTAGCGGGGTAATATAATTAATAGAAATATCCTTCTATAATATAAAAAGTATTACTAACGGTTTTAAAAGTATTATAGGGGGCGTATTATAATAATTTAGACTTAGTATATACTAAGTAGGCTTTATAATACAATTTAATAATAATATATATCCTTAGTTAAAAGAAAGATTATAATAATAACGAATAAATTTTTTTATAGCCTAGGTATTTAGCTAGTAGCGAATTGTAAATATAGTAGAGGAATAAAAGGTAAAGTTTTATATTAGTAGGGTCAATAAGGACGGTACTATAAAAATACGCCCGTTTTTAAATTATTTAATATTTAGTAAATAGGACTCTTTTTATATAATTTTTAACCTCTTTAGACTATATTTAGTAATTAGGGTTTAATAGGCAAGCAATAGTATTTTATAGAATAATTAATTTCTTTAGCCTTCTACTACTAAATTATCCGTCGACCTTTCGTCTAAGACTTCGAATTTGCAAATATACTTAATACTAATAGGGACCTCTTCGCCTCTATTTTCTAAAATAAAAGTTCTATTAATAAAAATATTATAGTTGAATAAGACTTTATTCTTAATTAGTAACTACTCATCGGCTTCGTTTTTAAGTAAGTCTTTTAGCTTCCTATTTAGTAAGTTAGGGCGTACCTATAAAGATCTAAGGCGATATTTAATTATAAAATTAAAACGGGAGAGGAATTAGAATTATTGTATATAGCGGGGGGTAAATTGTTTATTAATTGTAAAAGTTTTTAAATTCTTATAGTCGGTAAGGACTTTAAAAGGCTTTTAGGCTCCCTTTAATTTAAAGTACTATTCTTTAAGGGCCTTAACGATAGTTAGTAATTCTTTATTATAAATATTACAATTATATTCAGCCCAGGAATATTATTAATTAAAGTAAGTAATTAGATATAAAATACCCTTTTTATTGTATTAGGATAAAGTACCGCTATAAATCTAATTTGAAGTATTCGTTTTAACGACGGTCTATTTAGACCAATCGTAAATCCGGAGTATTAAACTATTATTAAAAGCCTTTTTAAAAGCCTTAAAAGATTTTTAATAGCAGTCGGTCTATTACTATTTTATTAATTTTATTATTAATTCGTATAATAGATTAATAATAATTGAAAAATATTTAATAAATCGTTAGTAGAAATTAGCGAAATCCAAGAACTACTATAGCGCCCTCTTAGTTTCTAAAACCTCCTAAGTCTTAATAGTAGATACCTTATTAGAATCTATTTCGAATCCTTTTGGGGTAATAATTAGACTAAAATATTTTATTCTTATAATATAGAACTCGTACTTATCGATATTAATCTAAAATTCCGCTTAGATTATCCGTCGTAGGATTTCCTTAATATAATTCTTATAGTTCTTTTTATTATCCGAATAAATTAGAATATTATTAAAATATACTATTATATATATATCGAGGATATTGTATAGAATATTATTAATATAGTTCTAGAAGGTTCTTAGGGCGCTTTAAAGGCCGAACGGATAGACAATAGATTTATAAAAACTAAAACAAATAATAAAAATAATAAATTACTTATACCCTTCTTTTATACGGATCCTATTAAAAATAGTAATAATATTAAACTTAATAAAAATCTTTATTCGGTAAATAATATTAAAGGTCTTTTTAATTAATAATAATAGGTAATATATTTTTAATATTATATTATTAATATTATAATAGTTTATATAAATATAGATACTGCCGCTGGGCTTCTTTATTAAAAGGATAGAGGAAGCGGCCGCGGATTATAATAGGTGGATAAAGTTTTTCTTTAAATTTTTATCGATCTATTTCTTAATAACGACAGTTTCGATTAGAGATATATAGCGCGGCCGCGCGTTAAAGGGGGTTGCTCCCGGCTAGAATTTAATTTTATAATTATAGGAATGGTTAGGCGGGATCTTCTTAATTAAAAATAGAAGAAAGGCTACTACTTTATTGAAATATTACCGTCCCTCCAATTTCTTTAGGATAATAATAATTTCATCTTTCGTTTTAATTGGACGGTCGGCCTTATTAAAGAACTTCTTCGTATCTTTATTAGAAATCTTAATTAAATATACGTATTAAATTACCTCCTTATAAAGTAGAATATTTTTATTAAAGATTCTAATAAGGTAAATCGCTTTGGCGAAGACCGTAACTTCCCGGGATTCTTCTAATAAGTAAGCGCTGGCCAAATTATTAATAAAATTATAAAGAAGTAGGGGAAGACTTTCCTTATATTATTACCTATTACTTTCCAAAATATTAATAATTATCTCCTTAATTAAATTTATATCCCGGACTTTTATTATAGTAGCCAACTTCTTAATTTTAGTATAGTTTATAATATATAATTATAATTGTTAGGATTCGCAAACAAAGTTGAAAGTCGCTGCGTTGAGTTCTCTAATATCATTAGATTTAATAGAGGAATTACTATTAAAATTATAGTAACAGCGGGTTTAAGGGCGCTTCCTACTTATAGAAACGTATTAATTATTAAAGCGGATATAGGGCTTATAAAGTATTAAGGTTTTAGTCCTAATAAGAAAGGCAGCCGTATTAATAATACCGACCTTAGATTTAACTTTTCTAACTATTAGTACCTTAATAGGGGTGGAAATAGGTCAATAATTAGCTTCGAAAATTCTTAGTATAGGAATTAGTAGTACTAGTACTATTTAAATAGGGTTAGTAATTTTATTAATTAATATTAATTCTAGTAGCGCCGGGGCTATTTTAGCGGAGGTAATAATTTTACTCCTTAGGGTTAATTAAAGAATTAGGGTTAGTAAAGGAATTAGGGCGATTTTACTACGGATAACTATAATTGAAACTCGGTTAGTAAAGGCTTTCGGGGCTACTAATTAGTCTTTAGAAAAGTCGGTAAATAGGTAGTAGCCTTTATAAGCAGGGTTAGTAAAATGTATTTTATATTAATTATAGTCGATTTCGGGCTTATAGTATTATATTTATAAGAATCTTAAAATAACCGGGTATTTTTTTAAAATATTATAAATTAAGAAGGTAATCATTTTATTATAGTATTTAATACAGAATTTAATTATTACTCCCTTAAAAATAATACCTTTAACTATTCTATTAGTAAGAATAAACTTTTTTATATAGTAGAAGCAGAAATAGGGAAGGTTATATTTAATAATAAAAGAGCGATTAATAAAAGTAAATATAGAGTAGTTAGTATTAATAAAGGAAATATAATAATTTTTGTATAGTTTAATTATAATATAAGAAAATAAGAGTATTAGATTTAAGGAAGTAGAACTATTTAACAATTATATTCTAACCTCCTCTAAACCCTCTAATTCTAAGAAGTTTAAAATTTATCTCTATAATAATAACCGAAAAGGCTTATATCTACAATTAGGTATAGAAGCTAAGCGTTTTCTAATTTATTATAATATTTATTATTGATAACAGCGGCAGTAGCGGGGGCTATAGCAGGAATAGCGGGGGCGGTAGCGGATATAACTTTAATATTATAAATTTTTTCTCTATTACAGCGGCCTCTACCCTAGCTCTTACCCTTATTCCTCTTACCCTTATTATATTAGGGGCTTTAAATACTACAATTAATAGAAATAAAGTAATTACTAATAATATAATTATTACTACTATAATAGTAATACTTACTATTATAGGTATACTAATTAAGAATATCTTTATAAATAAAAATAGCGAAGTTAATAGTATTAAAATTCATTTTATTATTACTTTAATTAATTAGGATATTATTAGCGTTACAGGAGTTGGAAGCGCTGCCTATATTAGTATTAGTACGACCGGAGCTTCTATTAATAGCGGGGGCGCTATTACTAAAAATACGAATATTTATTTTATAGTAGTAATTAGTATCTTCTAAATTACTAGCGATAGTATAGTAAATTGTAAGCTACTTCTTAAAATCGTTAGCCTTAGGAAGGTTGTAATACGTAAGGGCGTTGTAGAAATGCTTATTAATCTTATTATATAAATAGTAAACCTTTATAGAGTTATTAAGGCTATAGAGGTTTATTGAATTAGTAAGTTTGAATTCGAATTTTGCGAATAATATATTCTTTATAAAAAGCTCCTTAAAACAATAGCCGGTATTCATCTTTAAATTAATATTTTAGAAATAGGTAATTAAATACTCTATAAATTTAGTGCCGGTCTTCTAATACTAAGAATTTATATCTCCTCCGCCCTAAATAATATCTAAATTATTTTAAATATTAAATAAAATTTCGGAGCCTAATAGTATAGTAGTACGAATAATTTTAATATCCTTATTAATATAGAGGAAAGGGTCGTACATCTACTAAAATAAAATACGGAAACGCTATACTTTAAAAATTTTATATTTGCGAATAGTATTAATATTCTTCTTACCGGTAAAGACTAGCGGGTTCTCTATAATCTATTTTAAAAATAATATTTTACTAATATTAATACTAATTATTTTATTAAAATTATTAAGTAGGGACCGGATATTAACGTTATAAGATTTAAGGGTAGCGTAGTTTGTATTAAAATTTTTATATTTCTTTTAGAGATTATTGAATTTAACTATTAAATTAAAATAATTAAGCTTTTTTTAATCGAAGTTATTTTAAGCTTTAATAGCTACTTTGCAAACAATCTTTAATTCGTCCTCGCTATATTTAAGGTTAATAGTAATATCCCTATATTAAGTAAAATCGTTATAGTAAAAGCGATTAAGTAGGGTAATAATCGAATAGAAAATAGGATTTTAAATAATAATATTAATTATATTAAAGTAAACGTAAGGGATAGCTTTCTTCTCTTTGTTATTACTAATACCGATAAGAAGGTTATTAATTACTATTAAGGGAAGGAGTTCGACGAGCGCGGTTTAATAAATAGCGACGTTAGTAGTATTAACGATTTTATTAAATACTTTATAAATATTATTCAAATTAAATAATATACTCCTAGGAGGGGTACCGAGATTAATAAGGTCGTCGGTACTATTAATAGGAGAGAAGGATACGTAATTACTACTTTCGTTATAAAATATAAAAAAGGTAATTATATAAAACAATCTCTTATCCTTTAAATAAAGAATATTTGCCTTTATTTACTAAATAAAGGGAGCGAGACTATAATTACGACTATTGTAATTTACAATTATCGGCGTTTAGGGTACTAGACTCGGCGATTCGACGGGCGAGGCAATTCCTATACGCGCGCTAACTGAAAATTAATAGCGCAATAAAAGAAAATAGGTTTATACTATAAATACAATAGTTAAAAGTATAGTTAACTATTACGAGCAAAGGGTAGATAGTAGATATAAATATACATAATTGTATAAAAGAGAAAGGAAGAGAAGTATAGCCGAGTGCCCGGAAGATTAATTTTATAAGGGTATACGCTAGTATTAGGCACAAGGCACACAGGCTAGCCCTATAATAAATATTCTATTTTAAAATTATATACCGCTAGCTTTAATATTTACTAATTCTATTTTATATTCGCCCACTCCTTCTCCTAAAAGTATTATAAATTAAAGTGATTTATAATTACTAAGAATAATTTATTTATATATAATAGATATTACTTCTACGCTTTTAACGCCCTTATAATTATTAGTAATTCCCTATTTCTAACTTTATACTTTATCTCCTTTAGTGATTTCTTCCTCGAAAAGAACGTAATTAGATACTATTTATTGTTATATAATTGTATAAGAACCGTTTTAATTGTAAAGTCTAATACGTCTATCTCTATTCAGATTTTTAACGCCGGATCGAAGTAATATAGTATTAATACTTTTTAAAATAATTGTTTTAATTCTATAAATGCCCTTTCCGCTTCTTTTATTAATTTAAATGCCCTCCGTTTATCCCCCTTTAATAGTTTTATTAAAGGCGCGGTTACCTTTGAATATAATATTACAAAATATTTATAAAATTCTATAAACCTAGGGAATACTTAGATATTATAAATGTTCGTTAGGGCTTCCTAATCTACGATTATTATAACTCTTTTCGGGTCTATTGAAATACCCTCCGGCGAAACGATATAGTATAAAAATAATACCCTCTTCATATAAAATTCGTACTTACCTAAGTTTATATAGAGGTCCTAATTTTATAGCTATTAAAGGACTTCTTTAATATAGTTACTATAATCTTCTTTATTCTTACTATAAATTAAAATATTATTAAAGTAAGCGATATATATTGTATTTATTAATATTATTAATATATTATTAATATATATTTGAAATATTATTAGCGTATTTGTTAACCCTATTAGTATAATTAAAAATTCGTAGTACTTCTATTTTATATAGAATACTATCTTTTTCTTATCTCCTTCCCGAATCCGAATCCTATAGTATATATCCTTTAGATTTAATTTCGTAAAGATCTTTACTAACAATAATTAGTCTAGGATTTCCTAAATAAGGGGTAATGCCGTCCGATTCTTCTAGAATTAACATAGAGCCTTAGTTTTCTACCTTTTTTGGGGATAAAGATAATAAGGGCGCCCGCTAGGTTAATAGAAGGTCGAATCTACCCTTTTTAGAGCGCTTCAGGTAGTTATTCTTATAATATTTCTAATTCTTTAATATTAAATATATAAAGCGGTCCCTACAGCGTAGATTTTCTATTAATTAAATTGATATAATACTTCAAACTATTATATTAAAGTAGGGGTATTACTGAGGCTTTAAAAACCAATTGGTATTCTTTATATTTTAGTAAAATAGTCGGTTTAAAAACGACGG